ACAATGATCGTGCTGGAATCATAAACTCCTCCTTCTCATTAAATACCCCAAAGAGAACAATCTCCCCAAGCCACTGTTTAAATCCAGTTCACCCAGAATGCAAAGCTTTGGCAAATGGAGTGGAAACAGATAGGAAACAGTCCTCGAGTCCTGCTGCTTCAGTGCAGGTAACTGTCGCTACCTGCTAGCATAATGGAGCTGGCAGTTGCTAAGTTAAGTAGACAGGGCAGTCAGCAGCTCATTCTAGTACATCCACATTAGTATCAACGTCACTTTCTGCAGAACTCAGACGGCTCGGGTTTCGCGGGTGCATTCAGAGGAAAAAGTCAGCTCATGCACAGGCCATGTGTTTTAATTAGCTAATGGCGCTAGCCGTTTCATCTCCAGCATCTGTGTTGATTGCTTACAAAAGCCTCCATTTACTCCAAAACACGCTATTTTGGCAAAGGTCTGGGCCGGCTGCTGCTGGAGAATTCTGAACGCTTGTCCAAAAATCAGTCTAATAAATCTTTATATATACGTTTGCCGGTTTCACACTAGCAAAGGGGGGGAAAGGAAATTCCATGATCTATGTTTTTTTCCAGCAGGTTGTTTAAGCCAATTTTTCTTCAAGTAAAGGCCTGTATGTTCAAACTTCATCGTAAGGGTGGCTCCGCATTTAATTTTGATGAGGTAACAAAAAAGGTGTGGTTTAGGAAGTTAAATCCTAATATCCGTTAACATTACAACATGCAATTTAAAAATAAAAACATTTTTTGCGAGCCAAATGTTCAATGACCAGCTGTCTCGTGATGGTGACGACGACAAAGATGAGAAATGCAAGCAAATGGGTGTGTACTGCCCAGAAACAATTACTGCTTCATTAAAAATTAAGTCACATATCCAAACTGAATTGCAAAAACTTGCACACCCTACCCATGTGATCTTGTAAACTGAATATTTCACAAATGAGAAGCATTACAAAAAAAGAGGTCACTTTTGAAGATGTAATATTTGGCAAATGAGCAATGAGTAAAGTAATAATTAAATAATATTTTTTATAATTATTTATAATGTATTATGATTAATATTAATGATAGTAACAATAATAAATGTATACTTTTATAAATAAATGTATTATTATAATTATTTCTAAATATATTATTTAAATATTATTTAAAAATATGGTTTTCAATCCCTGAATAAACAAAACCATAGGTGAGAAAAATATTTTATTATTTATTATTTTATTTTAAACTTGAAACTTTTTATTTGAGAAGACATTAATTCACTCTACTTAAAGAAAAAAAAACCTAAATGACAAAAAAATGCAAGAAAGAAGTCACTGAACAAACAAACAATCCGGTTCCAAAATACACTGACATTTTTGCATCAGACATATGCCTTAATGAATGTCAGCAGAGATGACGCAGGAAAAGCCAAAGTAGTAAAATCTAAAAGGTTGGAGGAATTAATACAGAGTGTTATTATGACTATGAGAACTCAGTGACTGTTTAGTACAGTAGTAAACACACACTAACCACATAAGATACAGAGCAGCACAGCCCATGTTCTTAACCTGTCACAGCAGGAACAAACTGCAGAAAATGGCAAGAAAACCTCAAGTCGACTGCAATAATGCTAAACCAAAGCCAAGATATTAATGAAATAAGATTAAACCAAAACATTCCAGAGGAAATTCAATAAAGAAACCATCATTAATGTCCAACGTTGTAGCATGGATCTGCTCATCAAACATGATCAACTGGATAAGTAACTGGAGTATTATCAACAGATACGCTTTGATGAATATTTACATGAATTTCATGAGCTGCTGGGATAGGTGATCTGAAATACAAATCCAGAGTTGAATCCAGTACAGCATTGACGTATAAGAGCCCTGGGACAGTGTCGGGCAGAAGTCGCTGGATACATTTTTAATATTAATGCAGACAAGAAGGGCAAAAAAGCAATAAACTAAAATAACACTTGAATTAGGCATGAAACACAACAGGATATTGCAGTGAGATTATGTTGTTTCCTTTTAGATGCCTTCTGCCTCTGCTGTCCGACTACCACAAAACAGCCCGCGGCACTTTTTAATTGGACAGGGTGAACCGAAAAAGCCTCTCAAACTCTGCGAAGCGGTTTTAAGAGGTTTGCCGAGCTCAGTGATTGCAGATGTAGCTGTGTTTTTACGTGCCGGGGCATAAAACCACGTCCAGGTATGGACGGTGACAAAGCAGAGAGTCAGAACCCCGTCCTATGTTTGTGATAATGACTTTTTCCTGCCAAGGCGCTGCATGATACAAATGAAATGCAGCACAGCTGGGAGATAAAGAGAGGGAGAGAGAGAGAGGAATGAAAGAGTGTTATGTTTGGATGCAGGGAAATCGTGCCTCGTGCGCTCTCTGAGGAATCTGCAGTTGGAAAGATAATAAAGGGATTAGCTGGGTTTTCTGAAGCATTTGCTTCTAAATCAAAACGTCTCATCGGTTTCCTCTGCACAAATAGCTAGAATACCAAAATGTCTTGGTATATTGCGCAAAGGACACAAATGCAACATGTTTCAGACAAAAGCTTCTTCCTGCCGAGGTCCCAGGAAGGCATCAATTCGGAGGAAAAAATTAAAACACTCTAGTCAAGTATGTGCACTCATCCAATTTGTGAAATATAAATAAATGTAATAAATAAATAATTATAATTTTAAAAAATTCTAAATATATACATACAATTTTAATGAATATAAATTATATTTTAAATAAATAAAATAATATAAATATAATATAAAATTTTTTCTCCAATGATTACAAGGTAATGAATGAATCAAGATGAGTTTTAATATCTGTATTAATATCATTAAAGTCACTTTTAAATAAAAAAAAACATTGATACTGTAAAAAATTAACTCACCCAGTAACACAATAATTCTGCTACAAGTCAATTCCACACAAATCTACTCAAACTTTACCCACATTACTTTTATTTCCTTAAAAAATCAGTTTAAATGTAAGTCATTAATATTTGAAAGCACTAAGTTACAAAAATAAAATAAAATCTTTCCAAATAGGCCTGAAATATGCTTAAGTACCACATATACTGCCAGTTGGGATTCATTTAATGATCCACTAAATTTAAAAATCCTTTGACGTTTCACTTAAATTGACCTTTTCTGTTTTTCGCACAGGAAACGTTAATGCGATAATAGTCCAGGCCACCGGACTGCCTAAAAACAGAGACTGAACTTGGACAGAGTTGACTTGGTGAGAGGCCTTCGCTACATCCAGAGACAATGTCCAGCCATTTTACAACAATAATGGGTTTGTTCCTATCTTAGCATCTGCATAGCATCGCCATGAATAAAAATGAGTGTTTGTTTGTTCTAACAGTTTGTAACACCAGGGCTCTTGCCACATAGTCCGGGCAGAGTTTTGAGAGTAAGAACAGAACTCCTACACCACTGTTGTAGCCTACAAGTATGAGCAAGTGAGAAAAAGAGAGAGATTATGCTATAAAATAAGAAAAAACAATAATACTCAAATACATACAGTATATACAACAACAAAAGCAACGATTCACAAAAATGATTTCCAGAACTACCAAGTTTATGCCGCAGAGTGCGCAGCAATGCCGAAAATGTAGCTGCATGGACTTAAAGGAATTTATAAGATCTAATTACATCTGTCAGTCCAGCTGCTGTGAGCTCAGAGTAAACCAACGTCTTCTCGAGAATAAACAAAACTTGTCATTAATAACCTCAACGGAACTACTTAATGCTACCCTTGTAACATACTCCACATATTAGTGTACAGCTGTCTCCTATTGACACGGCTAAAGAGATCATTCAGATACAAAAAGGCATCCTGGGATTTAAATGAATAGGCCGACTTCAAAACAAGCTGTTAAAGTATCTGTAAAATAAAAGGATTTTTGGACAGAATCTTGTGTATGAAATTGAATATATCTGACAAGAAATCCAACGTTCTCCAATTGAGCAATAGAGGGGAATTTTGCTAGTCATCTCCTCTGCGGCTCCATTCTTACAGTCTACTACATTTTTCCAAGTGTTTAGTTTGGATAAAAAGCCAATTCGCTTAATACTTGTGGGACGGCTAAACGTTTAAACCTCCTATTTAAAGGGATCAAGTGCACGCATTGTTTGGTTATGTTAAACAGATGTGTAGGGTTTTTTTTTAGATCTCAATCATTTCGGGTTTTTTTAAAAGGAAAAGACAGAAAGACAGAGAGAGAGAAAGAGATCTTAAGAAAATAAACAGAGTTTCACCCTACACAAATTGTGGACTAATTGTGCATTTGGACTTGCGCATTGGTGGGGCTGGAGCCATTTTTCCACTTGAGCTGAGAATGTTAGAAAAGGCACTTTGACATTGATTAGTGTGTTGACTTGTGGAATCGGAGAGTTTTACCTGGATGTCTTGGGTTTCACCACAACACTATTTATACAGCTAGACTACAGGTCCAATTAAATACCCAAACCCGTCAGTGGAAAAGTTAGCCGCGCTTTCAGTTGAAATCATAATTTCTCATGCCATGTGATATGGTTGTGTAAAAAAAGCTGAGGAAAATAGGCATAGGTGGTCCCTTGAAAGCTGTTACGAAAAATGAAGCTTGGAGAGAACTTCCAAATCTATTCCTTGAATAAAACAGACATAAAAATAATGGATTTGTAAAAAACTTTTGTGGGACCTTTAGAAAGAAATTTGGTTTAATAAAGCCTAATGAAAGAGTTATTTGTCCTTGGTTGATAATACATACTTAAAAACTGATTTTAAAACTGACCTGTTTAATTAAAAATTATTATACCGCATTTGGTTTCCCCAACTTTCCACTCAAATTAAAGCCAATGAGGATTCCAACAAAAACCATTCAGTCCGAAATACTGCGTATGCATTTTCAAGGCCAATTCAGCTGCCAACTATAATCACCTCTATGAATTTCATTATGGGGAACCGCTGGAAATTGTGCACTTTTGACAGCCAGCAAAAATGGTAGATACTCACCATGCATTTGTTAGGTTTCTCTCCAGAGTGAACTCTCATGTGGATGAGCAACTTGTAGCGGGCGTTGAAGGGTTTGTAGCGCCGGACACATCCGGCCCAAAAGCAGGTGAAGTCCTCACCCTTGCGCTGGTCGATGTGGACCTTCTCGATATGCCTAACCAGCTCCTCCTGCTGCTCATACGCCGCGCTGCAGTCAATCCATCGGCATACCTGCTTATCGCTAAATACGTCCTCCCTGTCGCCCACCTGCTGTTCGACCAGGCCTGTGGGTTTGGGTTGTGCCAGAAGGCCTGAGGGTGGAGACTGCTGCTGGCTCTGAAGATGCAGTAGAGCACCTGGGCCGGAGCCCATGTACTGGTGCAGGTGGTAGGGAGGGGGCATGGGCGGCCGTGGGGGGCCTGTTTGATGGTGGTGGTGATGGTGGGAATGCCCACCGCAGTGGCTTCCGTGGCTCGTCAGATAGTGATAATGGTGCTGAAAGAGCTCCTCCTCACTTGGAGAGAACTCATCCATCGGTTCCTGTTTCAGCGTCGCCGTACAGCCGTCCAGCACAGCGCCGGGCTGTATGAGAAGTCCAAGTCCGTCGCTGCTACCCATGCCGGGTCCCGGCTGCATGGAGCCCACGTCCTCACAATGCTCCACAGATGACACCGAGGAGGACGAGGATGAAGAGGAGAGGGGTAGGAGGCAGGACGAAGTGGAAGGTGATGGCAGCTGAGGGCTGGGGAGAGGCTTCTGGGAGAACGTGGCGGCGGTAGGCGATGACGAATTGGTGCGCAGGCCGTTAACGCAGGACATCTGGGAGGAGCAGATATTTGCGGCAATATCGATTCCCTCCGAGGCTGACTGGGAGGCCACTGAGAGGCAGCGTCTCTTCAGTCCGCTTGCGTTCGGCCTTGCTGAGTGACGCGAGCTCGGGGACAAAGCCAGCAGGGAGGAGCCATCTTCATTATTAAATGGATACACAGTCACCGCCATTGCTGACAACGAGAGAACTGTTGCTAAGTTACCTTCGCCGCCTCCACCACCGCCGCCAATGCTCGGACGGTCCAATTCCCTGCGACCTGCTCCCATCCCTCCTGAAAAGTCACCCAGGGCTGATCCCAGTTTGTAGCCTTCCTGTTTGATGGGGTACGACGGCAACCCATGACAACCATTGACGCCACCAGACAGAGATGACGAGCTGAGAGCCGTCTGAAAGCCAGCAGACCTGCGGGAGAATGAAACACACCCAGAGGAATATGAGGAGCGTTTAGGCAAAACGGAGCAGAAAGAATATGCACGCTATTAGCGGCCTGGCTCGTTGAAAGATAAAGGCCAGGGCTTCTCAAAGCACTGCCAACTCTGCACTGTCAGACACCAAAGGAACAGACAAGCTCTGTGCTCCGGTCCTGGCAGACCTGTACTCTCAAACATCTCTGTTAACACTGACAATGTTTGACCAAAAGCGACACGATTGGAGATTCGTTTTGCAAACCCTTACAGAATCTTATTAGGTTATAATGTTTGGTTTGTGCTGATCAGAAGCTACTTTTTATGTTCCTCTCTCTCTCTCAGGAAACAGCCATTTGATGGGTTTCCATTGCGGTGTATTTTAAACACCAGTTAGATCCACCACAAATGCTCCTGAGCAATTCCATGAATAAATGATGCAGGAAATTTGGCCTGAACTATAGTTATGAATCGGTATTTAAAAATAAGAAAAGAGAGAAATGAATACAGGCAGGCTGTCATACTCAGCGTATGACAGGCTTTGATGACACAATAGGAGTTAACCGAAGCCTACATGTGAGCTAAATAGAAGTCACCTGGTTTTGGTGGTATAATGGTGGGCCTCTAAACGCTCTGTGTTTACAATACTCCCCATTATAGTGGGAATCTTTGCCCCCCTTGAATGGGGGTCATATTTCCCAGTGCGTCGCTGTGATCTTCCACATAATAATTCCTGTCAGTTTGCTCATTATGGATTTGTGTGCAAAGCTCCGGGATGATGTGAGAAGGGCCCTCTGTCCCAGCAGCCTATGAAAGATTTTGTCTAAGTCCTCTTTTCACTTGGTGCGGAAACCGCTAATACTAGAGCGCTGGCTGAGCCGAAGCCTCAAGTTTGTCATGAGTCGCTCCATTCAGGCTCACCACTTCCTGTTTGGCTGAAGCAGTGACATTCAGCGACAGTATTGGGAGAGTTGGATGGCATGTTTGAGTGAAAGCACTTTGGATAGCGTCCCTCGCTGAAACGATGGGTTTCAGCTGTACTGCGGCTACACAGAAGCCAACAGAAACCGACAGCAGTCTCTTTTCCTAGCCGTTTAAAAAACAAACGCAGCCAAGAAGCGCCATCAGTACTGCAGTGTTTTACTAGCTTGTTTGACTTATTCCGCACTACTTTATTAAACAACCTGCTTTATTTGCTTTGCAGATATGAGTTTACATTTCTAATGTAATTAGCAGGACTATAAAATTGCAATCTTAAATGCTTTACATGCATTTTACTAGATCCTACTCACATGAACTGCTAATCTTGGACGTCTCAGAGAACAAAAAGCAAATACTTGTTTGTTTTTTCATTAATAATGGTACTAATATACCATTTAAAAGTTAAGGATCAGTAAGATGTTTTTGACAGACGTTTCTTATGCTCAACAAGGCTGTATTTATTTGATCAAAAATAGAGTAAAAACAGTAATATAGTGATATACTATTACAATTTAAAATAACTATTTTCTATTTTAATATATTTTAAAATGTATTTTATTCCTTTGAGTGCAAAGCTGAATTTTCAGCAGCCATTACTCCAGTCTTCGGTATCACATGATCCTTCAGAAATAATTTTAATATGCTGAAACTATGATATTGGCCCGATTTTTTCAGGATTCTTTGATAAATAGAAAGTTCAAAAGAACAACATTTATTTGAAATATAAATATGTGACCCTGGACCACAAAACCAGTGATAAGTAACACAGGTATATCTGTAGCAATAGCCAAAACGCATTGTATGGGTCAAAATTATTGATTTTTCTTTTATGCCAAAAATCATTAGGATATTAAGTAAAGATCATGTTCCATGAAGATATTTTTTACATTTCCTACTGTAAATATATTAAAACTTAATTTTTGATTAGTAATGTGCATTGCTAAGAACTTCATTTGGACAACTTTAAATGCGATTTTCTCAATATTTTGATTTTTATTTGCACCCTCAGATTCCAGATTTTCAAATAATTGTATCTCAGCCAAATATTGTCCTATCCTAACAAGCCATACACCAATGGAAAGCTTATTTATTCAGATTTCAGATGATGTATAAATATTATTTTCGAAAAATTGACCCTTATGACTGGTTTTGTGGTCCATGGTCACAAATGTATCTTTATAAATCTTTTGTAAATATATAAATGTCTTTACTGTCACTTTTAAAAATAAATGTTGGGCCGCCACCACTGCTCGGACGGTCCAATTCCCTGCGACCTGCTTTTAAACAAATGAATGCTATCTTGCTTAATAAAAGCATTAATTTCTTTCCAACCAACGAATAAATAAATTAATTAATCAATCTCACTGACCCCAAACTTTTGAATGGTAGTGTAAGTAGGAGGAATCGCTGGTTGTCATGTCACAAAATAGCAATGTTTCACTCATGAATATTAATTAGACTATGCATAAATCACTAAGATCTTTCACTGTTTCATCAAATAAACAGTCAATGTAATGTACATCAGATCTGTAGTAGATTATAGCTCATTTCCAAGTCAAAATTGAATGAAATAACATTATGCTTAGCAAATGTTCAATATATATTTTAAATAGCACATTCATTTACTTTTTTAGTCATAAAAAGTTATCAGAGGGCAACTATTCTTATTGATCAGTCCAAGTGTTGTGCTGTGCTAGTCTCACCTGGTGTCTCGATGGGGGCTTTCCTGCAGGTGAAGGTTCTGTGTGGGTGGTTCACAGTGGCTGCTGTGGTGGTACTGGGCTCCAGGCTGAACTGGCAGGTTCTGTCTACAGCGCAGCAAGTTTCCTTCTGCTGTCAGCTCAGGAGTGCTTTCCTTCTCTGAACAGAATGAGATACATCCCCCATTCACTGAAAGAGGTGGAAAATACAACAGCTATATTAACATTTACAGATTTTTAAAACCATTCACCAATCTTTTAAACCCATTGCATGACTTTCTGTAGTACTTCATTTTAACAATGAGACACAGTCAATGTCATTGCATAGGGAGAACTCTCAAACTGAGTGTAGCAAATGTAATCAAAATACGGTTTCATAGTGTTTGAAAATATTTCCAGAAGGAAAGCTGACACTCTTTTTGAGTCCAGTGTGGGGGACCACATTATTCAAGTTATTTACTAACTCAATTTTAGAAATTGAATTTGCTCGCAATGATGATATTAATAATGCAACACCCAGTGGAGTCTGATCAAAACCAGCATCTAAACATGTGGATAAAGCCAAACCAAAGACAAAGGAGGTTCGGTAAGATATCGTTTCCAAGTACACAAAATGAAAAGGTGACAAGTAATTGCTATAAAGCAAACAATTGTGAGGGAAACAAAGAAATGAGTGTTGAGAGGCGAGAAGAAATGAGAGAAAGAGAAAAAGAAATGATGGAGAAGGAGGTCACAAGACACGCAGGTCCTGTAAAGCACATGCTGGATAACTCTATAAACAGAAGAAACACACTTTTTCACATCCATTCTAGTTTTCAAAGAACAATAATGGTTGTTTATTAAATCTTGGACAATTTTTTTCTTGGCTTAGAAATCCCACAGTTGGAATGTCAAACTGTGTTTGTGTATAACATCACTGCTCGCTGAGCTAAAGCCAGGGCTTTCTTGCTTCATCTGGAGAGGATTGAGAGGTTTGTCAATGACATTGGAATAGTTTGTTTCACACTAAAACTAACATTCTTTTAATTACGTCCTCCTGTTCTTTCGTCCCTTAGAAAGCTATTATGCTGTGAGCTCATTTTAAATAGAAATGATACATGTTCAACTTATTTTAGGCTTGATTCCTGTATGTAACACTGATAATTGGTTTCACAAGACGTCTTCAAATGCCACAAAGTCAAGTAGAGGTAAACTATACTGCTGATGTGAGGTGCAGAGAGAATATAGCCAGAAGCCACAGGAATTTTCAACACAAATCTGTTTTACAGATTTTCAAAATTTCTCAATATCATATCTGGGATGCAATTCTTGCCACAAGAGGCAGCTTGTGAAAACAGTTTCGCTGTGAGCCATTTAGCTAAGACCCTTTAACCCCCAAAATAGCTATTTAAGCAACCATGAGAAACAGATGACACAAATATGCTTTTTTGTTTCAAAATAACAGTAGAACCTTTGAGGCACTTTTGATTACAAGCATAAAAACGATCATGAATAGCAGATGAAATGCCTTTGCTGAAGGTGATGATTGGAGTTTAGACGATAGTCCCCAATCGATGCGCTTGTGCAACACAGACATGTGCACATCCAACCTGCAGAAGATGAGGCAAATGGCTCAGTATCAGAATACTTCACACTCCATATGCTTCTTTTAATGTATCATTGTCCAATTCCAAAAAAGTGCTGCCAAGTTACATCAATTCAGATCCAAGTTTGCATTAAAAGCCTTGCTCTATACGGAGAGAATTATGGGAGAGGTTTAAAGATATGATGCTTTGTTACATTAACAGAATTAGTCATGGCAAGGCTGCATAAGAGAAGCTCCTCCACATTTGGAAACTTGGACAGAATGTTAGATTGGATTTATATTGAATTTGCAATGGTAATTCACTTCTGGGTATTGCACTTGGTTTTGGTCAGAAGGTGGGAGTCTGTGAAAGCTCCTGTTGTGAAAGCTGGGACAAAGAGAAAAAGAGAGAGAGAAAAAATAAAGAGACAGATTGTAATGCTCTGAGAGCAGTGGAACCCACAGCCTTCTTGTACTTAAAACATTGGTATCATCAGATGCATGACCGAATTTATGTTTTCTTGTATTATAAAATGTTGTTTAAGGATTTTATCCCACTTTTCATTGATAGAGACAGTAGAAAAGGGATTTTAGGGGAGGCCAATCTGCCACAATACTAAATTGCATTTTTCAATAAAAAAAATTATTCTCTATGAAAGTGCCAATTGAAAATCAAATATATATTTTTAGAAGTATATAATATAATATAATATTATAATATAATTACAGAACAATTATAAATATGCTGCTTGAAATATGAAGCACGGCTGCAGGCTGAAGCACAGCAATGCTTTATGTCAACTATCCAGATGCGGACATGATACGTCATAAAAAGTCTTGATATACAGTGGGTACTATACACAATAGCAACCTCCAAAAGAGCTTTTTCTCCCAGACTTTTTGTCTGTATCTCACACAGTGAAATCAAACTGAGAAGGATGAAGGACGAAGAACACATTGGCTCTCATCTATACCTGGAGGACAGACAGAACACAGAGAGGATGTTTCTTCAGCTCTCTTAGAAGATCTCTGATCCTTGACCAAATGTAAGCCAGGGTAAAGGAGGGAGCAGGTTTGCAAGCATTCAGAAGCTATTAAGGAATGACAATCTTGGGTGTGAGATCACTGCAGTGCGGTGCCAATAATACCTCAGGGCAAAACAGAGCTCCGTGATGAAGACCAGACTGGAGTGCTGGCCCACAAGAACACAATCACAGAGCAGAAAAACACTTCCATTGTCATCCTCGTTTCACGTGTACAAAAGAACAAGGCTTTTAGACTCTGGGCAAATAACAAAGGTGTTTTATATGACAAACACTCCCATGCTATATATCCATCTTATTCAGACTTGTCAAAACACTTCCCATATATTTTGTTGACATCAGACTCTCTGCTTCCTATCAAGCTCTGCTTTATTTGGTGCAAATTCATCTGTCATTTGGTTAATATGGTTACAAAATATTTGGGGAAATTAAAAACACAATATTTGATTAATATAAATTTAGAAAACTGTCAATTTGTCATGTTCACTTTGCATATTTTCAGCGTATGAGTGTGTTTGCACAAACTTGCATCAATTATATCAATTATATAAAAAGAAAATAAAAACTTTTCTTTTTTTGCTCACTGATTTTACTTTCTACACAGTTCAGAAGTATAGGGTCAGATTTAAAATTTTGTATGATTTTTTAAGGCTTATGTAAGGTTTTTTTTTTTTAAGAAGAAGAAGTAATATTTTTATTCAGCAAAATTGAAGTGAAAACATTTATAATAATATTACAAAAGTTGACTATTTCAAGTAAATCCTGTTCTTTTGAACTTTCTATTCATCAAAGAATCCTGTAAAAAAAGATAAATAAATAAATAAACAACAAATAACTAAATCATGGTTCCACAAAAATATTAAACCGAAAATACCTTTTCTGATTTTTTTGCGAGTGCATGTCTTTCTGTGAATATCTGATGTCAACAGATTTAAAATCTCATGTAAACATATTTTTCCTGTATGTCAGAGTTATCAGGGTATTGTTGTGCTTGTAAACATTCAGCATTTGATTTTATGAATATGTTGTTGATATTTTGTTTGATAAACTATTTTATTATTACTGGTTTGAGGCCAAATGACCACTTGATGTCCAAAATCAAAACTGGAATCAAGAAAAGCTACTTAGAATCACTGCTTTACAGTAACATACAGTAGGAGAAGACACAGTGCAACCCCACCACTGGACCATGGGGACTCACTGCATCTGATCAGCAGATGGGTCGGCCATTATTACATGTAATTGGTGGTAATCTTAGGTGATTTTTTATTTCGGTGACACTTCATTTTCTACAATTCTCGCCTCCTGCCTTTCAAGTCACCTAAGTGCAGCATTAAGTGCTGGAGTGAGACCGAGCTTGTGCCAGCATTTAATGTTTTCAAGTCTTCAGAGATGCTGGCAATGGAAAACAGATGTCCCGAAGACCCTGGAATACTGAACAAGACGGGGCTTCAGAGAGGATGGGAGAGGGCTGTGCGTATGCGCATGTGTGCCAGTGCACATATGTGTGGATCAACTCTAATGCACGTCAAACATGTAAGTCTACAGAACAACAAGCTGCCAAAACCACAAGATAGATGCGTCTGGAAATGCACTGTGACATTTCTACTCAGGCCACTTTAGCACCATAAATCATAGCATCCACACTTAAACAGTTAATAACGATCAGAACTCTCTGATGCACTCTTCCTCTTACATTCGCTGCTCTTTTTCGGCCTTATTAACTCGTTAGTGGGGCTAGCTAAGATGGGCATAACTATTACTAGTGTTCATATTTGGGGTTAGGGATTAAACGTTTACATCTGTCATACCTTAAATTGTGCGGCTTGTTGAGAAAAGGATCTGAGATGCAGTTTTACCTGGTGGACCATAAAATTTAAAAAAAAAATCCTATAGACTTATATCATGTGACATTATTAAGGCTTGGGGAGCAAACCACCTTGCAACCTCCAAAAACGATCTTCGATTAATATGCTAAAGCACAAGTTTTATTTCCTGTATACATAAAAAAAATTGTTACTCCACATCCCATCCAGTGTTCTCCTCCAAGGCTATGAATACAAACATACATGTATGAATGTATAGTCATTTCAATATTGTTTATTTTAAAGATAAATTTAACATTTGTCAATATTTTTGCACTGCCTTGCCTTTTTCTGTTGCTCTACGAATTCCATTTGATGCGCATGCATAGTTACACGTATTGTACAAGTTATGACATTTTAATTAAACATTACAAGGTTAAAAAAGTCAATTAAAACATATGCATGGTCGAATTGTTCACAATACAGTTTATAATATGCATTTAAAAACTAGATTTGAATTTGGGTAAATTTTAATTTCATGCTAACTTTAAGTGTGAAGTGTAAAGGCGACTCACTTGCTGTCAGAATGAGCATTTATGAAAAATGAAAATACTTGCATGAATTTATAACAGATAAGAATATAGCTTTCACATATAAGATATATACAGTGGGTACGGAAAGTATTCAGACCCCTTTAAATTTTTCACTCTTTGTTATATTGCAGCCATTTGCTAAAATCATTTAAGTTAATTTTTTTCACGTACCTGACAGGAACAGA